TTTCTTCAGAAGCAACTGCCTAGTGTGTGGTCACTGAGGCATGGTTTCGCCTTCTACTGGTTCCTTCTGTTTTGGGCCCTTTGGGCTAAACGACAGAAATCCTAGTGAGCTAGGAACCCATTCCGGAGACGGTAAAATGGTGATTGGTGATCATAAATGCATAACAGGGGACTCTACTGTGGCAATACCATGAACTTACTATGAGAGCGTTTGGGACCCACTGCAAGGAGTATCTGGCTTGATGTACCACTGCTTATTCTAGGAAAGTGCCTTTTTGGATAAGTGGAGTGTTATTTTTGTTGTTGTTTTTCTTTGTTTTTTTTTTTTTTCCCCTTGTAGAGTCAATGTTCTGAGGCTTGATAAGGAGAGATTCAAACCAAAGAAGCTTTTGGCCTTTTTTCCCTTTGTCTTGTGAAAGAAAATAAATACAGTTTTTACTATTACTTCTCTCTGCCAAGATGTTCCATTTTGTTCTGCGAGGCGTAGGTCTGAGCAATCTGTTAGTTATTATGCAGAAAAGCATTTTAAAGTTATGTCCTGAAGTGACTCACTGAAATTAGGAGGGTGAACATGAGACAAGTTGAGCCATAAGCACAAGAAGGCTCTGCAGACCATGACTACATGCCATCTTTGGGACTTGAGCGGAGGGAACAAAGGAAAGCACAGCGTGTGGGACTGATTCCTAATCCAACCAGGTATCACCCCTTCATTTGTGACCCACAATCTATGTGAAGCAAAGCATTCTAATCTCACTCGGAAGGTCTGGATATTATGGAACAGGAAACTCCATGAGAAATTCTTTTGCTTTTTCCCTGAGTTATGGGCTACGGCCTCCCTTAGCAGTGACAGTGTCTGTGCTCTTGTAGACCTAAAAGTGGAAAGCTTGTGCTGCAGCCATTCATTTTCCCACCTGCCTTTCAGAGCCTGATCTAAAGACCCTGGCGTCCAGGGGAGCTTTTTGAGAGAGGCTGTGAAAGGACTGGTGGAGTCTGGTGTGAAGAGGAGTTTTATTGTGACTCCTTGAGTCAAGAGCCAGGGAAGCAGTTTTCCCTTGAGGTGTAAAATAGTTGCCAGTGCTTTCTTCTTGCTGATATGCAGCCAAGGATGATGGGAAGTTGTGAGAAGGCACAAGCTGTTTCTTGCCCTGTTTCTTTTGTCCTTGTGCTCATGAAGGTTAGCTGGTACCCAGGTACATCAATGAGAGAAGCCAGGGGTGGGGGTTGGAGATGCAGAATTGGACAGTGCAACAGAAGAGGAGTAAGGCAGAATCAGTAGGGTAATCCTGGACCTGGTCTCCTGAGAAGAAACCAAATGATGATTATTTTCTCTGTGCTGGCTGAGAGCACTCCTGTGCCAGGAGCTTTTGTGTTGGGGAGGATCTAGGATGCACAGTAAGTAGTAATGGTCTGTAGCATTTCTATTTTCCCCTGTTCTTGTCCTCCCTGTTTCTTCTCCCTGCCCCCAAAACATGTAGTCTGGCAAGGCTATGGTACAAAGCAGGTTAAGAGCCCTTCTTGGAGGAAAGTGCAGTTGCCTGCCTTAATCATATACATGTTGGGAGCTGAGATCTGCCTAGGGCTGGTTTGTCCTCAGCAGGAGAGAAGAGGCAAAACAAAGTTTCTGTATGCTCTGTTTGGATATGCCATTGGTGAACACCGGCACTCTGGTCTTTCTTACATACTTCAGGTTCATCTCTCTCGTGTATTTGTGACCGTTTTCCTGTGTGCACTTGGCTTGTGGTCTCTCTGGTACCTTCTTTGCAGCCATGCCTGGAACTCAGATGAATAGGCATGGTCCAGAAGAGAAAACTACAGGAGGAAGTCACTTCAGCTGCACCCTGCCATTACACCTCTAGCTGAGGTCTTGACCTTCAAATTTTTGTATAATGATGGAGCCAAGGAGCAGCTGCCATGAGTCTGCACTATGTTGATAGAGGTATGAGAAGTACGACAGTACTCTTCACAAAGTGAAATCTATGTCCAGGGGAAAATTTAGGTAGACACATAAAGTCTGGCAAGTTAAATGCGAAAACATTATTAGGCTATAGAAACATTGTATGGAAAACAATTAAAAGATATTAAAGCTACCAATATTATTTTTTTTCCCCAACTGCAGAAGGAACAGGAAGCCTGCTAGAGAGGCAGAAGGTTAGTAGGAGATGAGAGATTGAAAGAGAGTTCAGAGATCAGTTTAAAGCAAACCAAAATTAATTTCTTCATCTGGCTACAGTTAAGAGGAACTTGGGAATGTTTCTCTACACTGTAATCCCTCCTTGTGGGGGATACATGCCACAGTCTCTTGTGCATCACCATGTCTGTAGAATGTACGTCAGGACTGAATGAACAGACAGATAATGGGACCTGATGCGATGCATCCACAAGTGCTGCAGGAGCTGGCTGATGTCATTGTAAGACCGCTCTTTCTTATACTTGAAAGGTTGTAGAGATCAAGGGAAGTGGAAGGAAGCAAAAGGTACCTTAAGTTGATTAGTAATTAGTAGTTCGTTATCTCAACTCAGTCCAGCTGGGTAAGAATGATTGGTGCCATACTGGTTCTGGGCTCCCCAGTAAAAGTGAGACATGGACATACTGGAGCAAGTGAGCAAAGTGCCACTAAGAAAGGGACTGGAGCATGTGCTGTACAAAGAGAGGCTGAGAGCTCTGATCGCTTTTCTGGAGAAGAGTACGCTCAGTAAGTGTCATGTCAAAGTGTATAAATACCTGATTGGAGATGGGTGGGGTAGAGAAGACAAGCCAGACTCTTCTCTGTGGAATCTAGTGACGGGATGAGACACAATAGGCAGAGATGGAAATACAGGAAACTAGAATGAAAGGCACGCTGGTGAAACACTGGGCCGGTTTGCCCAGAGAGGTTGTGGAGTCTCTGTCCTTGGCCAAGGTCAAAACCAAGAGGACATGGTCCTGAGCAACATGCTCTAGGGGACTCTGAGCCAGGGGTTGGACAAACAATCTCCAGAGGTGCCTTCCAAGCTCAGCCCTTCTGTGATTCTGTGAGTAGGTGGGGCCTGACCTGAGGCTTGGAGAGCTCCAGTGACAAAAGGTCTGGGAATAGCTTCAGGTGCTTTCCAAAGAACTTCCCTAGTGGTGGCATCTTCTGAGTCCATCCGTGATGCTGCAGTGCTTGGAAGGATTTGGGGAGGAGGGAGGAGTCTGGGAAGCCACAGAGCAATAGGCCTGACATTTGTTGCAGGAAAGTGAGTAGAAAATGCAGTAAACCCTAAACTTAGTGGCTGTATGGACAAAGGTGGTATGTTATGAACGCATCAATGTGTCTTCTTAAGGTAAGGTCAGCTGCCATTGAGCACAGGGACAAGGGGGACCTCTATCATGAACTGAGGGACACCTGAATTTGGCATGGCCATTTAATGAAGGATCCAGCATAAGAGGGAGTATTCCCAGATGGATGAGTAAATTGATTGGTCAAAAGAGTGTGTGTTGAAAGGAGTATTCTGGAATGAAGTCTTGCGGTGGAAGGAGGCAGCTCTATGAAACTCTTAGCTCGGTTGTCGTGGCAGGGACCCAAGCCGTGTGAGCACTGGGACTTGCTAGCAAAGGAGTAGAAAGCAGCAAAATGGTTTCCTGCCACAGCCTAAAGCTTAAAGTGTAGCAATAATGGAGTTTCCATTTCCTTCTTTTTTTTCTTTTCCTTTGTTTCTTTTCCTGATTCCTTTCTAGCTAGGTGGGTTCTTCACAGCACACCTGCACGACCCATTAGGTGCATGACCCCTCTTTCAGCCAATCTATTAGCTGAATCTATAGTGTCACAGCCTCCCTCATTTGCATATTATCTCCCTGTGTCCAGACTCTGTCTTCCACCATTTCTTTGCAGTAAAAGGAAGTGCCAGTCCATAGAGTTACAGGCGCTGTCAGAGACACTAACCTCTTGCAAATCTTGTCCAGCTGAGCAGTGCCTTCTGTGGTGGCTTGAAAGCAGAGACAGGTGAGTAGAATTTGCAGTTTCTGTGAGTGGGACTTGCAGTTTCAGAGGAAGGCAGAAAGCTGGATTTCTTGTGTCTGTTACATGGAAGAATGAACTCTGTCCCCTTGAACCTGTCCTTGCTTTCTCTGCTACAGTTTACCAAGCTAAAAATGATTTACAGGATTCAACAGGCTGTGGTGTGGAGGGAGTGGGAAATAGATAGGTAGAAAGCAGAGTGGGGATTTTTTTGCTGCCTGTAACACCCACAGCACATGCTGTCATTCCTCTCTACAGGAGAAGAAAATGTTCTGGGAATCCAGAACCGATGATTTGTGTATCGGCTGCCTCTCCTCTGTCCCCAAAGCCCCAGGGCCTAATGGAGAGTGGTGGCTCCGTGCTGTTGCATCTGGAAACCTCCCAGTGCAGCTGACAAGTCATTTTCTGGTTACATGAAGAGTTTAGTGTCTGACCGAGTTGCAGTAACAAGGCTTGTATAACAAATGGGATCGTGCCAGCTGGGTTTACTGTGCATTTGCTTTTTTCCTGAAGCTCTAGTCAGCAAAGCCCCAGGGCCTAATGGAGAGTGGTGGCTCCGTGCTGTTGCATCTGGAAACCTCCCAGTGCAGCTGACAAGTCATTTTCTGGTTACATGAAGAGTTTAGTGTCTGACCGAGTTGCAGTAACAAGGCTTGTATAACAAATGGGATCGTGCCAGCTGGGTTTACTGTGCATTTGCTTTTTTCCTGAAGCTCTAGTCAGGAGCATAGGGATCAGATTTGGACATGGAGCAGAGGGAGGCAGGAGAAATGCCACAATCCTCCTTGCATATTCCCCCTCAGTTATGCATTGACCTGAAGGCCCTGTGACAATACAGAGAAGCCAGGAGACTTTTCCAGAAATGGCCAAAAGGTATAATTTAAACTTGCTGCCTTGGGTGAAGGATGGAGAGTTCTTCTCTGATGTGGCACTGTCCCAGGGTTCATAGTCTGCTGCTGTGCCTGTCAGTGTCGTCTTCTTTCATCCCCTTCAGATCACAACGGACGGTTGTCTGGGGAGAGCAGGCTCTGATGGGAGCGAGACTGCCCAGCATGTCCAACGGCCTGCCAAAACTGACCACAGTGCTGCTGAGCCACAGGCATAGGGCTCTGTTTATCCTCACCATTTCATTCGTGTTCTTTGCCTCTGTCATGTTCTACTGGAGAACTGGGCAGGACACTGAAGGCCAGCTCCACAGCTTGATTACACAAATCAGGCATGAAGAGTTTTTGCCTTGCCATTCACATCTCACTGCCAGGGGGCCCCCTCCTTCCCCAGGGGACATTTTTTTCGTGGAGACTTCAGACAAAACTGACCCCGGTTACCTGTTCATGTGCTCTGTGGAGTCAACGGCTCGGATGCACCCTGGGACAAAGGTCGTGGTGCTCATGAAAGGCTTGGCAAACGGGAATGCCTCGTTACCCAGCCACTTGGGCCTCTTGCTGAGATGCTTCCCCAACATGGAAATCCGGCCCCTGGACTTGCTGGAGCTTTTCTCAGGGACGCCTCTGGCAAAGTGGTACTTGCAGTCTGAGCACCAGAAGGAACCTTATTTCTTACCCGTCCTGTCTGACGCCTGCAGAATTACCATCATGTGGAAATTTGGTGGCATCTACCTGGACACAGACTTCATTGTGCTTAAGAACTTAAAGAACCTCACCAATGTGCTTGGTATTGAGTCTCAGAATTTACTGAACGGGGCCTTTCTATCCTTTAAACCCAAGCATGAGTTCATGGAACTTTGCATGAAGGACTTTGTGGAGAACTACAATGGCTGGATATGGGCGCACCAGGGCCCAGGACTCTTAACGCGTGTCTTCAAGAAGTGGTGCTCCATCAGTAATATCCAGAACAACATGATGTGCAAAGGCATGCATGCTCTTTCCCCAGAAGCTGTTTATCCTATTCACTGGAGTAACTGGAAGAAGTTATTTGAACCAATCAGCTCCTCAAAGCTTCAGAAGCTCCTTAAGAACACCTACGCGGTGCACATATGGAACAAACTGAGCCACGGAGCAAGGCTAAACATCACGTCCCAGGCTTTCCTGGCTCAGCTGTATTCTCAGTTCTGCCCTGCCACATATATGAAGATGAAGAAGGACTCTGAAGAGCAGTCAAGGCCTGCAATGTGACCTGTGGGCCCTTGGCTGCAGGGAAGGTCCCCTACCTGAAGGAAACTGAGTGCCTTTTACCTTCCACGCAGCAGGTATTCTGTGTGACAGCTCAGTGATTTTGTACCATTTCCGATAGCTGCCTCAGATCCTACGTGCTTCAAACGCACACCATGAACCTGAGCTGGGACTCTCTTATCCTTCGGTAGTCCTTGATGCTGCAGGGAAG